TTTGGTATATAATATATATATATGTATATTATCTTTCCCGTTTCTGATTTTGCTTCGATTCATTTTCGATCCTGAATGACAAGTACATGATGGCAAAATGCAAAAAAGGAACAAGTATGAACATGATGATTATTTGATATTAGCTGCACATGAGGGAAACGCGATAAACAAATGAGAATGACACTTTCACATGATTGGAAAATGAAAAAAAGAAAACGACAATTTCACATGATCGGAGAATGATATGAAACAGGGGAAAAAACATGAAAAACAAAACGAAAAAATGAAAAACTATTTCCTTGGTCCGGACTCAGTCTGAGTCTGTGGCGGTAAGATTCTCATAAATCGAGTTTTGCGCTGCCATTCCCCGTGCACACAAACACAATGTGGTGTGTTCTGTGCTAGGTCGAGATATCTATGTGCTATTATGAATAAAAAGCAAAATTATAACATAATAAATAGATAACTCCCCCCCCAACCCCCCCACACAAACACAATGTGTCTGTCTATCTATCTATCTTTCTATCTATCTATCTATCTATGTATCTTTCTATCTATCTATCTATCTATCTACAGTATCTGTAGTTTAAATATCTGTAGTTGATGCATATGTATCCATGCGCAACACGTGGCCTTCCCCACATCTTTGTGTGGGGTTCTTGCTTATTGTTGTGCACTCCCCATCCGCCCCCCGCCCTCCGCCCCACCAACTTTGTGACACACAACTCTCTCACACACACACACACAACTCTCTCATCCACAACTCCGACACACACACACACACTTGCTCAGAAATAGCTTATCGAATTATTGATGTGGAATGCAGCGGTCGTGCAAAAACACCAACAAACCAAAAAAAAAACACGATGAGATGAACCTATATTTATACAACCACAGGAGGCAATGACAATATAAAGCAACAGCGATAAGCTTTATGTCTCCCCCAGCTGCGACTTAGATGCGCTCAGGGGCGGGACTACATATTATACATGCAGGCACAGGAATGTGCGTCCACACTCCCTTCCGGCTGGATCCCATAGCTTCCTATACAGATGGTTCACACACACACGCACACCCTGCCGCAGCAGGGTAGGTGACACGGAGATGAAAATGAGATGACAATGAAGATGAAATTAAACCTTACCTAACCGGGACACGAAAGGGGGAACGCAAAAGAAGAAAGGAAAAAGGGAGAAAACACCAACACCAACACACCTAGCTCAAAACGGGCGAACGCCGAAAGGGCAAGGGAAAAGAAAAGGCGGACGGACGACGGGCCAAACACCGACCACAGGAGGGGGGGCGGACAGAAGCGTCTGACACAACCTACAAGGCGAGAGCCAAACCTACCTCGGCACGCGCAGGACCCAAATCTGACCTAACACGGGGACACGCATGAAATGGGGGACCAATGGGGAACTAGTTAATGAAAATGCTGCATCCACGATCGCATTCATAACACACTCAAGGCCCTCGGTAGTCAATTCCAACCCTGTAGACGGCTGTCAGTAGTAGTCGCCGGCTGATTTACGTGCACATTTGAACCTTCCCAGAGTCCAACAGAAGAAGGACCAGACCTGGAAAGCATGTCCTGACACCTGTATGATCCTGTGGCATGTTGTAGTGACCCGTCAGTCGCTCAAGTACTCAATGCAGAAGCGCGTGGCGCTGGTTTTCCACGCCACCAGCGTATGCAGGCATCGATGGCCTGAAGTGACAGAGTCCGGTAAGGCTCTTGGATGTTGTTACCGAGCCGACGGAGTGCATAGCACCGGGTGAGGCCCCCCGCACTCGATCGCAGCATCTCGGTTGTTTCAAAACGAGCCTTTGTATTCGACCTCAGGGCATGGATGATCGTCCAGAGTTCAAGCCAGTTTTGGAACCGTTCCGAGGACCACTTGTGGTGTGAATTTGTGTTTGGCACGACGCCAAAGAGTGGCCAGGCCAAACTGAGCGTTGGTGTTCATGGCTGGCTTCTTCAAAATTCCTTTCCGAGGGTGGCAAAAATGGCACATGAAAGGGTAGTTGAGCCTAGGTTGCCACTCTTGGATGTTCAAGGCAGCGATATTCAGCTCGACGTACAAAAAGAGGGCCGGGGCCCAAACATAGAGGTTTTGATGTTCGTGCCAAAATCTGAGTGCCAATTCAGCATGAACCAGCTTGTCGTTGCTGAGTTGAAGGAATTTTCCGGGACCGGCTGTACTCTTGATCCAGGGCGTGGCGCATGGCATACCCACTATATTACTTGGGTTGCATGTTCATAATATGCGTTAATTGGATGTATACGCATTGGGTTAGGAAAAATGCCTGCGGACAGAGATTGAGTGAGGCAAGAGAGAAGCCCCACAAGTGGTTGAGATTGGCACACCCTTCCAAAATTGCTTTGAGTTTTGGATTAGGCCAGAGACCATGGATGACGGACAGGACCATCATGCGGGTTTGTATGATACGAAACCCTTGAAAAAGAGAGACGGTGGAAGCCATAGTCAAGGGTGTGAGAATGGAAATGATCAGGATCATCGAGTGAAGAGCCTGAAGATGATATTGAAGCATTTTGTGCTTGAGTTTCCTCCGGAGAAGCGGAGCTAGTCAATTGGTCATATTGATTGCTGCAGTCAGTCTTTGATAAGGTTCGTGGCGTTGAAGTTCTTATTTAACAAAGTGACCGGAATGCCCATCATCACAGCAACCTTCTGAACTGTTTCAAGGGCTTCAGCTGGTTGTTTAGCATGCCATGTATCCGCCTTGGCGTTGTTCGTCGCGAGGACGTTTCGCTGTATGCCCGAAAGTTGAAGGTCCTTGAGCCACTGGGCGAAGGCTCCATCGGCCAGGCCAGTGGGCATGTTGTCGGAGCCAAGAATTGGATGTGTTTGGAATGGTGAGAAGGCACACCGGGTCAAAGGAAGGGGGTGCTGAAGGTGCTGGAGCTCTTTGAATGGGAAGGGGCTGGGATGAGGAACTCTGCTGACCTGTGCAAGGTGGAGTGGATACCTCAGCGGGCTCATCGCCCGCAACTCCACTAGTTGATTGCAAGTTTTTAGTCAAAATTTGGCACTCAGTACAGGTCCAGGTCCACCATCTCTGGAGGAGCGGGTCGCCCCCGGCTCTCCAGGAAAGACCGAAGTTCCAGCCATGACTTCACTACCCGGTCAATGGTGGCTGCATCTTGAACCTTCTTTTCGGCAATCCTTCGACAGGTCTGCTTCCACTCTGCCCTGAGCGTGTCCGTGAGGATGCCGGCAGGCTTGTAGGAGCCCATACCAACAACATTGAAACGAGGCCGTTGACCCTCTTCTGCACATCCTCGCTGAGATTCTTGTCCACGTTGATTGCTCGGGGCTTCCTCTTGTAGATCGTCTTGCGGACAGGACGCAGAACTACTGAACCCTTGGGGTTGTCCTCAACGACTTTGGCCCCAGCAGCAAGGAGTTCCTCCTCCACCCTTGCTCTCGTCTGGAGCCAGTCATCAGCGACGTGATGACCAGCCAGCCCAACCACCTGGTCATAGTCAGTGTAGGCGTAGGCAAAGTCGTTGTCGTCCAAGAAGCCTTCTGACTCCCTCCATTGACGTGCTCTTTGCGCAGCGATCATCATCAAGGAACCGGCTGCCCTCCATCCTGGTGCAGGGTCACCTCCTGACGAGGAGGAGGCTGCTGCTTGCGCCGCGTAGCCCTTGCCTGATGCCATGGCACTGCACCCTAACAGAATTGCTAAGGTGCGGAGAGCAAAAAGATGCTGCGGTGATTGCAGAGGATCCTCCTCTGTCATAATCTCATACGTCCGAGAGCATCTTCCTACGCTCAGTGCCCACAAGGCTGCCTCCAGGTGAAGCAGGCACTACATAATCCCACGCAGCATGCCCAGCAGACGCGCCTGGTAGGATCACCGCAGTCAATGCAGGCAGTACCAAGCTGCAAAGTGCCTGCTGCTTGGCTCTCCAGCCAGCCGCAAAGTGCCCGGTGGGCACGGGATCCGTTTGGCCCCCACGCTTGCCAGGGTCGCCCCCTGGGAGCTCGTGGGTAAGCACGCGGCTCCACGAACTTTGCCAACACCCCTCGGCTGCCGATGCTGTCGAGCCAGGTGCGCCATTGATCGAAGACTTCTCCAACGCCCAGTTGCCCAGCGTCACCCGCTGAGCACCTGAGCTGCAAGCCATAGAGCTCCTGCGGCACCAGGTTGGGTGCTGTTGTGAAGTTGGTGTACGCCACCAACAAAAGATCCATCCTCTCCTGGTGCCTGTAGAAATAGTCCCAAGCTTCGTTGGGAGCCACATCCGGAGACAGAATGACTCCACGGCTGTTCCACAGACCGAGCCAGGGGAACTTGAACCCGCCAAAGCGGGCTGCGCAGCGATTGCAGTGTTCAATGCAGCAGGGCATCTTGGGCAACGGGGGAAACAAGTCAGAGTCTGTGCCAGTAGCCATGACATAGGGTGAATGACAGCTTTCCACCCCGTGCGTCCAGCAAGTATAGGCTGCCAGATCGGACCCTTCCCGTGCCAGCCTCTCGACGTGCTGCTTAAACTCAATGAAAGCAGCCGCATGGAGGATATTCGCCTCAGTGGCCGCCGAAATGTCTATCCCTGGAAGCTTCCGCTGCATGCAAGGTCTCCCCTTGCTACCCACCAGGTCACCCCTGGAAACAATCAAGGTCTAGGAAGGTCACCCCTTACCAGACCTATAGAAAGAAAAAGCAATGAATGCTATTTTGGTTCAACTCCACTTGAGCCAAAATGATAGCATTCATTGAATCACTTAAAGATGATACATGCACACCCAAGCCTGCCAAACTCAATGCATGGGTATATATTTGTAGCCTGCGGGAGAGTTTTTTCTCCTTCCAAGAATGTTTTTCCCTGCCTCTTTCATGCCAAGTGAATTGATTCATTGGTGAACAAAAAAAGACTAAATATGTATAAATATATGTTTATATGTACATCAAAAACTGATTACTTCTCTCCAAAAACATCTGAAGCTTAAATTTCGGTGTATGGAATTCACTCAGCTCCTGTAGTCGAGAGCTTGGTTCAGGCAGCCCTGACCTCGATGGGACAGGTAACAACTTTATCTGACTTCGCAGTTTCGCCGTCGTCCAATGCATTGGAATGGCTTTCTAGCTTAGGGCGCTGCAAAATGTGTGGCCGCATGGCACAGACACAGGTTCCAGTAGCAACTGCAAGAAAGCCACAATCGACTGCTCTAGTGATGTCAAGTCATGCTGACCCCTTGCAATGGAGTGAACTTGATTATCTTTGTATCTCTGCCACGTGCGATCAAAGAAGCCTTCCAGCAAATGGCACACTCCAAGTGGGAAGGAACATCCTCAAGATTTGAAGCCTTCACATGCCAGACAGCTGAATTTTGAAGCTGGGTTGGGCTAGCGAAGATTGCAGTCTGTGCAAATGATTTGCACAGTACAATCGCTTCACTCTGCGCATTTTTGCGATTATTTCGATTTCAGGCCTCATCCATCAGCTTGGCATCTAGCACCGAGCAAGGAGCAAGACTTGTCAAGCGGGCTTGGGGCTCTTAGATATGATTGAGCAAGAGGCGGAGAAAGATCGTAGACATTGTGTAAACATCTGCAATACTTGTGTGGAGCAGGTTTTCTCTGCTGGCAGTGTCTTGCAGCAAGCTCCTAAGTTCCTTTCAGCAAAGGATCTGAAGCTAAAGCCCAAGAGCCTAAGGTGTTCAAGCCGCATCGCAATCTCATCAACAAAATAGTGCTTTTGTCCATGTTGTAGCAGCTTAAGCAATTCCAACACTCTGTAGCTGGCCCCAACTGTGCCTGCCCGACTTGGACAGAATCTTAGCAAGTAGCAATGCTATCTTCACAAGAATTGAAGGACCAAGACCAAGACCAGACGATGTTTCTAATCCAAATTGAACAAAAGCAGAAAGCGAGCTCGACCAGCCACACTACCATTCTGGACAAGATCTGCCAAACACTTTCTTCATCGTTTTTATCTGTCGGCACCAGAATGAAGAACAAAGACAAAATGTATTTTTGTGTTTGCACTGCTTGGAAGTCGCTTGCTCGAAAGATCCCAAAAGTCCAAAAGTCAATTACGTAGATATCTCACTTATCTCACTACATGCATATGTATCATATGTATCATATGTATATTAATCTATATTAACATCAGACCTGCAAACAATCTAGCCTGTCCCTCATGACCACTTCCTTTGAAAGACGGGCGCTCCTTTTTTCTTCAATTGCGAGGAGGTTGCCAAGTTGCAACTGGGTACAATGCCACTCTCTGTTTCAAGTCTGCATGCACCACTGCTTTGGCGTTCTGAGTGCGTTTCCTTCACTCACTCAACTTCACTCTGCCTTGATATTGCTATATATAAGGAAGACGAACTTGGAGGCGCCGATGAAGCCCAAAGAACCGCAAAAAAGAGCTAGGCCAATGCAGAAATTGAAGGATGTACCAAAGTAGTAGACGGTCTGCAGAAAGCCAGACCTCAATTCCCTTTCTCCCAGTCTGCAGAAAGATCAGAAAGACTGAGTGATGAATGGTTTGACGAAAGAAACGGACCAGTGTGAGGCGAGTTGTCTCTGCTGAGCTCGGGACATCTGCGTTGAGTTGTAGAAGTAGTGGATGGTGTACAGGAAAACGTAGAGCGCAGTTGCTGCACAACTAATGTATGACTGCCACTGCCACCTATAGTCCTCCGCATTCAGAAGGATGTAAGTGCAAGTAATGCTAACGCAAATTATTACCAGACATAGCAAAACGAGGATGGCAAACATAAAGCCATAGACGTAGTAGATCTTGTTGTGGCTCCAAACCGCTGAGAGAATGAAGTACATTTCAATGAAGAGGCACCCAAAGGGTACAATACCTGGCAACACAAGACTTGAGACACGAACAGCAAAAGTAACAAGAGTATACATTGAGATATATTATGATTATATTATATTATATTGAATTATTATGATCTATTCAGAATCTATTGAGAATCTATTAAGAATCTATTAAGAATCTATTCTGTCTAGGAATTTCGATGGGATTTGGAGTGCGCGCAGCGCAGCGCGCCTGCGACCATCGTCATGACAGGTGTAAAGGCCCAGTGCTTCGTTGGAATGGGCCTGCCGAGGTCACAAACCACAACGGTAACCACGATAACACGATAAATACACGATAAATACACGATAAATACACGATAAATACACGATAACCATGATTAACCAAGATTAACCAAGTCTATATCAAATCTCAATGTCTGAAAGGTGGAAGAAGCTTGAACTCTTAAAACTCTCGAAAACATCTTCTCAAAATGCTGACTGCCTCTATATGATTTCTGTTTCCAGAATCTCTATCCAGATTCTAGTTGGAGAGGGTAAAGACAGATTCAATGTTGCAGGCGATATGACCTCACCAAGGCAAATCGTTATTTCGCACTTTCGTTATACTTTTGCAAACCGCAAGAAAAAGCGGCTCTGAACATACGGAAACACCTGGAGTGTCAGTTTCTATGCAGGACCTGGGACTACATTAAATGCAAAGCCACAGCCCATGATGGTTTGTTTTTTTGCACATGCTTGGAAGAGCTTAGCTGCGGACACATCAACATCATTCAGTGTGATTCAACAAAATTTCCATAGCTACATAGTACTGACAGTGTACAGGCCGCTTGTTACAAGCCCCTGTCCCGGAGGACTTCGGAAGCCCACCTTTTCAAGTGATGAACTCTGCATGGAAAGGATCGCTCAGCTGCTGCCCTTCGTCCCAACAGTGTGCCAACCTTTAGCGTTTCCGTTGTCATGTCATTCCAAGCCCAAACAAGTGGGTCTCTCTGAAAGATTGATGTTATTTTGCGAAACAGCTTCCCCCAGACTCTCAACTTGTCAACGCTGAGTTCAGAACTGTGTGCAGTGGCACGCAAACAGCTAGAAAGAGGACAATGATGATGAAAATCGTCTTGAACGGTACCTTTCAAACATATGCAGAGCAAATATGAGCAAATGAACACTGAACATCTAGAAAAAAGCATGTTCAAAACCTATGGCTTCAGGGCTATTGGCCAAGGAGCAGTCATCGTAGCTCTGTAGAAAATTGCCGTGGTGTTGATGACGACGAAGCTCATGAACACCTCCAGTCTCACATCCATATCACACCACACTGGATTGGAAGTCCTTCTTACTCAGGTCCGGACAACACCCGGCATGAATAGACACTGGTAAACCATCGTCCTCCAATCTATCAACAAGAAGTCTGACAGCAAAGTGAGCCAATCGTTTCCGGAAGAAGTCCTCTTCCATTGCTGCCCTCCAAACATTCGGAATATCCTGCCACCCTCATAGCCACCAACCTCACTCTGTTTACTTCAAAACTGCAGTTGGAGCGAACTTTTGGGTTGCTTCTCGATTTCTGCGCTATAAATTGCTGCTAAGGCAAGTGCAATGACAGTGCAAAGATAGGCTATTACGAAGGAGCCTGCCGTTGCCCCCCGTGAAGCATAGTACCTCTCAAAGCTCCACAATGGCACGATCTGACAAGGAAGCCGAGATGAGCCAAAAGAGTCTGCTTAAATTTGTTCCGTTCTCCATTCTGGAGACGCAATCATTGCAAACAAATGTCCTTCATTGCAACGAGGCACGAATTGCATATCGCAAAAATGAGCACAATGAAGACGGTGCATGCCAAATGGCAGCCAGATGCATACACCACCGTGAAGATTGCGAGATGATCTGGTTTTCTGAATACATCACCGTTGACTTGCTTCCACCCACTCTCGTCACCTCAGTGCAGCAACCCCGAAGGCATTGCACGTCAATTTATATAATTCAATATTACATATATATATATATATTACATATTCCAATCAATGCTCCAACAAGCTCTTCAGGGCTCTTCAAGTCGTTTGGACAAGAAAACCTCTGCAAGTGGCCAACACCGTCGAGGTTTTCCAGCTCTTCAGCTTCGCTGGCAGAGTAGCGCGTAAAGTCTTGCCTTTGACACTCACACAATCGGAATATTTGAAATAAACAAAAAAATCAGAAAATACCACTTTCTTGG